GATTACGAGCACATCTATACAAAATTGGACGTGCGAATTCAGACGAATGTAGAGCATGTGGAGAGGACAGTGAAACTCTGGAGCACTTTCTTTGCCATTGTCAGGCATTCGTCGAAGTTAGATCCAAGTATCTTGGAAGTGATGTTATTCCGGAAATAACATTCTTAACCAACACCGATTGGAAGATTCTTAGGAATTACGTCCAGGAAACTGAGTTTCTGAACATTCAGTAAACAATTTTTTTTTTTTTTTTTTTTTTTTTTTTTTTTTTTTTCTTGAATTGGAGCGCACAACAGGCCCGATAGTGGCCTAGGTGTATTTCTTCGGATTTGATGTAGTATACATCCTCCTATCAACCTAACCTAACCTAACCTAATAATAATAATAATAATAATAATAATAATAATAATAATAATAATAATAATAATAATAATAATAATAAAAATAATAATAATAATAATAAAAATAATAATAATAATAATAATAATAATAATAAAAATAATAAAAATAATAATAATAAAAATAATAATAATAATAATAATAATAATAATAATAATAATAATAATAATAATAATAATAATAATAATAATAATAATAATAATAATAATAATAATAATAATAATAATAATAATAATAATAATAATAATAATAATAATAATAATAATAATAATAATAATTAGACTTTTGCCAAAAAAGGGAATCCTGATCCAGAGTGCAGTTATTCGCACTTAGTATTTTTGCCCAAGTTTAACCCAACTTCCATGGTTCCTTAAACTAACAAAGAAAACAAAATAACAAATTTAAAAAATACATTCGTATATGAATGAAAAACATAGAACTAGTTCGTTCATGAATTGTGAAATCCTAATGTCAATTTGAAGGCAAAAATACATTATATTTTGATTGTTTTTCCAATAATTTTTTATTTTCTTTTCAATGGTTATTATTACAATACGATTTTATGTGTTTGTTTGTGTGTGTTTTGTTTTTTTATTAATTGTTATTGTTTATTTTTTATTATTACTATTTTCAATTTTTATTTTTGGTTTCTTATTATTTAGTATGTCTTAAAATAGGTTTTGAATTGCATTTTATTAAATTTCTTTTTAGTCACATTTTTTTATTTATTTAATTATTTATTTAGTAGGTATTAACAAAATCATTTTAAACATTTCTATTTACTTGTATCCTAATTGATCAAAAATTTCATTTTTGTTAAATATTATTTATTCTAATCTATTCTATATTGTTTTTTTTTAATTATTTTATTTGATGATGACAATTTAACATATTTATTATGTCAATGCTTTGTTGTTTGTCATCATTATAATAAATTTTTAGTTTTAAGTACTTAATTATCATCATTTTTGTTTTATTCGTATAATGAATTTAGGGCATTTGAATTATTTTATTTATTTATTCTTTTATTTATTTAAATACTCGTAGTTTGGTTTCATTATAATGTATTGATTTGTGTAATTGTTGGTTTTGTTTTTAATTATTTTAATTTTTATTACATATCTTGTTACTGTTGTATTTGATGTTGTTGCATTTGCGTACATAAATCATACATCGTTTATTGGTTGTTTTTTTATATTTTTGTATATGTATGTAAAATATGTGTATGTGTGTGTGCGTATAAAAGTACATTTATTAGAGTAGCTCCGTTGTTATAAGATTTGTATACGTATTCCCAACTAAAAATACAATTTTGTTTGAGGAGACAGTTTCTTACTTAATATGTTTGCCCTGGAAATTCAATTTTTAATACATTAATTAATTAACAAAATAATAATACATACTTTAAGTATTTCCAAATTAATTTAGAATTAAATAAGGAAAATATAATCTATATCGAACAATCTTCGTTCGACAATACGGGTTGATACAACATCACCAAATAAATTTATAAAAACTGTCTTATTTAAATTGATATTGCTTAGTTTAGTTATTAACCCGTGTTAATAATTTTTTAAAGATAACAAAGTATACTTTTCTAAAGGATTGAGCATCGTTAAATTCGAATCTGGCATCAGAATCCATCAAATCAAAATCTCAGCTTTTGGTTATACTTGAGACGTTATAACTTCGTAACACGATATCTGGATTCAATGATGCTCAATCCTTTAGAAACGAAAATTTTGGTCTCTGGGTTTCGACTTGTTTAAAAATTTTATAGGCCTGTGTAACTATACGGTTATCATAACTGGGTAGATTTTTTTTTATTTTTTATTTTCTTCAAAAAAGTATTTCAGCTCATGAAATACTGATACCAAAGCAAACATATTGAATTACTGTATCTTCTAATAAATTAAATGTTTACTTTAGTGGGAATAAGTATGAGCCACAATAATGTTAGTACATGCATGCATGTAATTGTGATTTATCTATTTTCTGTAATAAATAATACTTGACTTGTTTGTTTGTTTGTTTGTTTTTAATAAATCTACTAGATTGTGTCGATTATGGGTGCTTCATTTTTTCTGTGTATGTTACTTTTTTTTTTTGCTTTTGTTTGTTTTATTCAATGTTTTTAATTTTTGTGTTTTTTGTTATTAGATAATTAAATTTTTAAAAGTTTCCAATTAATGTTCTATTCTAACCTATAAACATTATTATGTACCCCTATTATGTTTGTGTATGTTTGTTGTTGTTTTGTATTTATCAATGATCGACAAATGTTTTGTTTTTTGAATGATTTTGATGTTTTTGTCCTGTGAATGTTTTTTTTTTTATTTTATTTGTTATTTTACTAGTTTATCTCTCTCATATTGTTCATTAATAATTTTAAACAAAATATAACAATTTTCAACTATTCTACAATATATTTGTGTATGTGTGTTGTATACGTATGTATATTTACTGTTAGTTCAATAACATTTTTCTTAGAATATTAAAATGATTATCAGCATTTAAGTATTTTAATATACATACATACAACATACATACTTATACATATGTATGTATCTATAAATGTTCAATTCACAATCAAGTTGTAAGTTGTAGCTACTAAAATATAGTGATTGTTAACACAACTTTGTGACAAATCATTAGTTTATATTGTCAAAGAGAAAAAACAATCAAAACAAACCGAAAAAAACCCAGAGATAAATAAATTTTTTTCTTTAATACACATTTGTTCAATACACAATCAAGTAGTATATTGTACCTACTAAAGTGTAGTAACAGTGATTGTGAACAGATCTTTGCAGCAAGTCATAAACTTCTCAATGAAAAAAAAAAAAAACAATCAAAACAAATATACATAACAATGTCAAAAGATAAAAAAAAAATCAAAAAATATTAAACTAATTAAACATGCGAAATGAACCAAATTAATTTCTTTGAATTTTCAATTCTTTTATTTTCTTTATTCCACATTTTAAACTAATAAATAAACAGTTTTTAATTAAATTTTAGCTCTTTTGTTTTGGTAAACAGCTGTTTGTTTTTGATTTCAGTGTTACCACTTTATCGTTTTTTATGCTAAAATCGTTTGAATTTTTTGTTTATATGTTGAAATAAACATTTGGCAATAGTAAACTTTCTTACACATTCGAATAACATATGAAAAATTGTCGTAGGAGTTGTATAGAGCTTTTGCATAGAAAATACCAACAACATTGTTATGACTATTGTAGCAGCTGCTGACATACAACGCGTACAACGCTACAACATCGATTGTGAATTGAACAATTGATGAATTCTTTTTTAAATTTAAAAGATTTTTTTCCCATAGTCACCGATTTGAACAAAATTTTGTAAACACTTAAAGGAAGGTCCATTGTATATTAATTAAAATATTCGTAAAAATTGCCAAAGATAATTAAAATTTTATTTTTGCATAAAATTTTATACAATTTGTGAAATTGTATAAACATTTTATAATTTTTTTTACATATTTTCTACTAATAACAAAATTCAGAAGCATATAAATAATGTATGTATGTATGTAAAAGAGAAAATTTATCTTTAATTTTTTAATTTTGCGGCCACATTGGTTTTCTAGAATTCCTTAACATTTTAGATTGGGATTCCTACTAGTGTCCGAGATATGTGCAAAAATGTCAATGCATAACTATTTACCAAAATGTTAAAAATTTATACATATATTTCAAATTTTAATTTTTATAATACTTTTTGTAAATGTATGTATGTGGACATTTTTGGTCATATCTCGGAAAATAGCAGGAATCCCAATTTAAGCTTTTATTAGTATTGGTTCAGAGGTTCTAAAAAATACTTAAAAATTTTTTTTATTAAGTACATGTTTGTTTAAACATTAAAATTAAGCGTCAGAATAATTTTTGTGCAAATTAAAAAAAAACAATATTCTTCATGTATTTATTCCATTGCCTTCCTATATTGAATATTGACAGTTCCTTCTCTAGAATTGTTCTTTGGACTATAAAACACGTTCTGAAACGATTAGGGTTTAAAAAAATTATATTTCGTATTGGAAACCAACACTGAAAAAATCATATTTTAGTTTGCAATGAACGGTTAAAATTTTTTGCAGGACGTACATACATACATATGTATGTATGTATTTATGTATATACCCCAGAGAACAATTCTAGAGGGCTTGTAGGAGAATAGTTTTTATCGTTCTAAACTGGAAGTTGTTGTTGTTGTTGGCATACCACCACGTGATGGCCAATGGTATTTAAGTATTGAAAATATTTTTTTTATGTCTTTTGGAATCAAAAACATCACGCACCAACAACCAATTTTTAATACAATAAACAAATTTTTTTGTTCCAGTTTTTAATTTTCTTTTATTTTAAATACAGGTACATATTTCCACCGCCATGATGTGACAAAAGCAGACTTTTCGGTGGAAATTTCTATATACATACATTAGAGCAGCGATTTTTACTTCGCGGACCCCTTGAAGAACTTATTTAATTTCGCGGACCCCCATACATATTTTAATATCTTATTGTTCTAAATAATTGTCCATCCGAAAATTGACCTAGTTCATTAATCCCTAGGTCTAATAAATGTAGAGATGTCATATCTATAAAATATTCCCGTACATTGTCCCTAGTGGTCCCGTACTACGGACCACTAGGGGTCCGCGGACCCCCATTTGGGAACCGTTGCATTAGATTGATGACATTTTGATGTTTTTGCAAATATACAATTTTACACCCCCTAATCAAATAGTCCATAAAAAAATTATAAAAGTACGTTCACACCTAACAAATATTTGACAAAAAAAAAAAAAAAAACGTAATTACTATTTTTTTTTATCTTACATGATTTTTGTACTTGCAAATAATATCGAAATAAATAACAAGGACATTCTAAAGTAATATCTACAAAGATACATATATTAAATTTGTTTAAATAAATATTCATTTAATAGAAGCCAAAATGTAGATTTTTAGGGATCACTTCATATCATCAAATATTTGATAGGTGTGAACGTAGCTTAACACTATAAATTTTATTGGATTATAGAGTAAATAATTCAGTTTAATTGAAACATTTACACATTTTGAGAAACGGTATCTTTAAATGAACTAAACTTTTGTTTTCGCTGGGAACATCAGTACATTATTTATTCTCCATACAAACGGGACCAGATATGTCTATATTACATTTAATATTAATGTAATTATTTAAAGGAAAACATTGTCGATTTCGAAAGATAGATAATATACATATGCATATAATTTTTTGTGAATTCCCGAATTTCAGAACAAAAAATTTTATGTAACTTGATCAAGATTTTAGAAATAACATATTTAAGTGTTATGAAGTAGCGAATTCTACTTAATTTTGTCACATTTAGACCAAGGGCCAGGCTCTCATTAATTTTAGAAATGTAGAGTTATATGAAATCTGTTTGTATATTCAATTATTTACTAAATATTTTCTAGTTGCAAAAAAAGTTTTCTTTAGGTTACTATCCCACAAAGTAAAATTAGAAGTGATGTTATTCCAGAAATAACTTTCCTGACTAACACTGATTGAAAAATTCTTAGGAATTACGCCCAGGAAACTGAGTTTCTAAACATGGAAAAATAATATACTCAGTGAATTTTTTTTTTTTTCATGAAAAGGAACGCACAACAGGCCTGATAGTGGCCTAGGTGTATTTCTTCGGATTTAATGTACTATACATCCTCCAATCATCCTAACCTAACCTACTGAAAATACGGATGAAAGATTTGAAAGTATGATTTTAAAATTTTATAATTTTATTTATTGAAATTTTAACCTAAAACAAAAAATGTATATTTAATTACTATGTATTTCTTATTGATTCTATACACAAAAAAATTTTGAATTTTTGTTATTGTTTAAAACGTATTTGAGCTTACGATTTCATGATTCAAATACAAAATAAATTTGAAAACATATTTAAATTTCATACAATCTTCTAACTCATTCCTTTTGATTTAATTCCTATAATTAATTCATAAAACTTTCGATGAAATTGAATTAATTCTCTTATTAATTATTTCTTATAGAATGTTAAATTCCTTTTGGATGAATAAATTTTATTTGCATTCAATCAGTTACAAATTGGATTAAAATAAATTAAAACAATTCCTATTGGTTTTTAAATACCCTCTGAATGATAATTTTTTTTTTTTTTTTAAATTCAATCTATTACAAATTGAATTTAAAAATTTTTCTACCATTCAATTTGAAATATATTGAATATTTTGTTTTATAATTAAAAAGCATTCTTTATATTAAAAATTTAATTAAACATTTTTTCTTTCATTCAATTTGTAATAGAAGGAATTAAACAAATAATCATTCAATTGAATTCATTCCTATAAAGTATGAATTCTCTTAGGAATTAATTCAATGGAATATAAATCCAAGAAATTCACCTCAGAATAAAGGATTCATATCAGGGACGTAACGGTTATGACGGTTTCTTTAATAATTAAGTAATGAATTTAAAATAAGTGTTATAATTAACCATTATTATACATAAGTTACATTTGATTTTGGACATCGTAACCAATACCAGAGAGAAATACATACGTATATTTTTTTGGTTATCATTATCGTTACTAATTTTTTTTTTGTTTATATTGCTAAATAACAGTTATTCATAACAAAAAAATATTTCTCATGTTAATTTGTTATGGTGACATAAATAATATAAATCTTATAATAATGGCCAAAAAATTCGTAAATAAAATAAAGGGATTTTTTGCGTAACCTTTTCTATCGAAAGAAAAAATAAGAACATTTTAGGTCCCTGATTCATACATTCTTCTGTCTATTTTTCATTCATACCTTCGATTTTTTCTTATATACATACATATGTACATACATACATATGTACATACATACATATATATGTACATACATACAAACATACATGGCCACTTTTAGCTACCTAAAATTAAAAACATAACCTGAATTATTATAAGAATTAAAAAATAGAAAAACGTAAAGTTATGTTTTTTTCATATGAGAGAAACTTGTTAAAATTTTTTATTTTTATTAATATATTTTGTTTTTATGTAATTTTTTTAAATTGTCATATTCACTACTACTATTCATTTTGTATATTACAAAAAAATTATGCGTGTTTTGTTGCTAATTATTAATTACTATTTTTTTAATAATGGCAGTTTGGTTTCAAATTACAAAATATAAAATTTTTAGTAAAAAAAAAAAATATAAATTCATACATACATATATACACATGTTGGTGGATTCGTAAAGTTAATCGTTTATTCAATATTATTATTCATGCCTATTTCCACATGGATGTCTTACAGAGAGGAAACATTAACCAGGGCCACTAAAAAATATCAATAACTTAATTCAAAGTTATCACTAACAATTGGTTTAAATTGCTTTAAAATGTAAAGATACAAATACCATTATTTTTAAAAATCTAAAGAAAGAACAATTTGCCAGTTAAATCGATCTACTATATCACGAAGTCCCTATACAATTCGAAATATTGCGATGACCACTATTTTACCGAATTAGAGAATAATAAAGGCAATCTTATCGAATGACAAAGCCATACAAAACATGCATATGTATGGATCTTAATTTAATTGCTTCAAATTTGTAACTTAAAAGATGATGTTTACAAGTGACACTATTAATGTGGAGAAGCCGAAAAGGGCCCAACAATACCATTTAAAAATGTTCCTGCCCCAGGTAGGATTTAATCTCCAGTCTGACAAGAATATATACATCAATGATAAATTAATACTATAACATAAACACTCTTTTTAAAAATTACTTGATATTTAAAATTATTTCTATTAATATTTCTTTTAGCATCGGTACATTAGACTGTGCATCAAATTTTGGGTCATTGAAACTTTCTCGAATGAAAGTAGATAGACAATCAGTTGAGCAAAATCCCCTAAGGGTTTTAAGGAGTTAGCTCATATAAGGTATTTTAAATTTAGCTATTTTCGGAAAAGATTTTCTTTTTACACAGAAAATCAGTATATAGTATAACTACCTTATGCAAAAACGATTATTAAAGTTAACAATGGTTTACTACACACTTTTTCCATATAAAAATAGGTTTTAACAATCATTGTTAACTTAATAATGGTTTTTGCATAAGGCAATAAGTCTTTAAAATATTAAAAAAGTATGATAAAATTCAACAAAAGTTATTTGTTTTCGAAATTAATAATTCTGTAGGGCTCGGTCCACAATTGGCCTAAGCCTCAATAAAACACCATAACGAAAATCTTATAAAGGTATACAAAATTAAGCATAAATTGTTACTCAAACATTTGGTAAGCGTTTCACCCACAAACATATTTAAAACGTTACAAACATCAACATTTTTCTATAAATTTAATATATTTTTAGAGAATATTTAAACATAACCGACCAAACCATGTTACAATTTTTATTAATAAAAAATTAATGAGTACTTATGTGTAATTTTGTTTTTCTTGTAAAGTGATATTGAAAAAGAAACAAAACGATATTTGAAGTTTAAACTTCGAAAAATCATAATTTTGGTAGTTTTCAACCGATTTCCAAATTTGATATTTTGTTTTAGAGATACAAGCGTTGCCTTTTAATCTTAAAAGAAGTGCAAATGTCTGAGTTACGGTTGTCAAATGTCTGAGTTACGGTTGTTTATTATTATCTTTGTATAAAAATGTTTATAAACATTTTTTAAACATGTTACAAAAAACCAGAATCATGAAAGTATGGAAAAAAACATGCGCTGTTTTTACAAAACTTAGCACAACTTATTACTTTTTTCATCGATTTTTATAAGTTGGCCAGAATTGGAAAACCAACTTAATGTGCTTCTGTCAAAGATAATAAAAGCTGAAGCTACTGTTTTTTGGCCAACGTAGAGCATAATAAGAATTAAAAATTATGAAAAAAGTGTGAGTTTTTTTTACTTAAATGGCCGTAACTCAGACATATGTACTTGTATTTAAAAACAAAATATCAAATTTAAAAATCGGATGAATAAAAATAGGGTTTTTTTACATATTTTTCTCTTAAAAAGTAACTACACGAAGTAATCGGGAATATGGACTATAGCGAAATGGAATTGGCATAGAGATCCCCTGCATTCTTTTGGTGTATCACTGTGTACTCATCGTTTATATAGTTTTTCTCTAATGAACCAATTATAATAATTTTTTTGTGTAATTCTTTTCCACAATATAAGAAACAATTTCAGGAACAAAATCGCGGTCAATATTCGCAATTTAATTTTTCAACAATCTAATGTATATATGTATGTATGTATCATTGCATATGTAAGTATGTCAATTTGACGAATGAAGAGCATATTAAATAAACCACATCACTCGGCGTTTAGAATATTTTCATAAAAAATATGCATGAAAAGTTTACAAAAGATTAAGGATCTTATTCATAACCATTTATCGAAAGTTTATAGAACAAATTTTGTTTAAATTATTCTGAAAATTTGTTTTATATACATTTGATATTATTATGAATAAGGCCATTAGTAGTTTGTTTAGTGAGACGATTTAGGGAATAGGACTCTAAATTAGTTTTATACTATCTGAATCCTCATCTCAGAGAGACCAATTGTGACACGTTTTTATGAATCCATTGGTAATCTCAGGTGAGGACTTAAATAGTTTAAACGTAAACGGAATAAGTAACAAAAATTATAATTAATTCCTATAAACTAATAGTAAATGTAGCGAATGAATGAATTAATGAATGAATGCATAAATGGTTTTCAGGATTTTTTTATTATTCCGCCGTAATAATAAGGATTTAATTTGAGTTATTTCATTGGGTTTAATTCTACTGTACACAATCTAGGACCTTTCGTTTTAAATATAATTTTCTATTTTTAATCATTATATAACATACGCTTTTGTAATTTTTCTTGATTTGTTGAGGTTTACAAATGTTTGCAAATGTGTTGAAAGTTGTTGAAACTAAGTTATTAAATTCAATTATAATAATCACTATTTATATCCGATCTTCTTCATCCTCTTCTTCTACTTCTTCACCGTTCTCTTCAACTTCCTCTTTATAGCCGGGGTGTTCAGAGATTGCATAATAGTTGCCGTTGTAAATGACACCTAGTTCTCGCAGGGCATCGCCTCTTATTGTTGCCTTTATCGTCCAATTGTAGCAGTCATCCGACTCTGACTCTCTGTCAAGTCGTTCGACATCGAGAATTTTGGAATTTAGGCGCTCTAATATGATGCCAATGTCTTTGATGCTAAGGTGACGTTTTTGATCAACGGACAGTTGGTCGATGAGAAGTAAGAACTTTTCCGTCGTTACTTTTTCATCTTCCATGATTGTGTTTTCTGTTTCGCTTTCGGAACTGTCACGCTCCGGAGCAATATCCAGGAACCGTACATGACCTTTTGTCCCCGAAGAGCGGCGCTGCATGCTGCCACCCATCATAGGATCCACAACCGATGACATGCCCAACGTAGCCTGCTGTTGAGGTTGTGGGCTCGTGGTACCATCTTGTATTGGAGAGGTCGCCACACTTTTGTGAACAGCAATTTTACGACCCTCCTCGTGCAGTGCACAACAATGAAAGTCGCACTCCGTGGTACTAGGACTGCCCGCTCGACTGGGTGTGTGAGCATGATGCGCACATTCAGGTGTGTGCACATGCACTGCACCCACAGCACTGTCAAAAGAACCCCCTTGTTTTGAAAGTCTTCTATTAGTGCCAGGTATCACAACGCCCGGTGGAAGAACCACACCACCTGGATGATAAACACTCGCGGGACCTTCATCACTTATGACTGTTATTTGTGGACTTGTATACCTCTGTTGAGAGGATTGTGATGATACGGATTTGTTGTCCAATGAATTTTGTGCAGAAAGTCCTTTTTTCGATGGTGAATATTTTTCTGAGGATATAAGACCGTTACTACTTCCAGCTCCACTATTATTCGGTCCGCTTTGACCACCTGTTGCTCCGCCGCCTTGACGTTGGTCCCAGTGAAGAACCACCGTAACTCGACCCTTGTTGTCCATAATTTTCCAAGAAGGCGTCTCATCGTGCAACTCCAATGCATGGATCGTCTCGCAGACGATTTTTGGTATAGCTGATATTGCTAAAACGATAATAAAAAAATCGAATACATAAATTATTTATTATTATTATTATTTTTATTATTATTATTATTATTATTATTATTATTATTATTATTATTATTATTATTATTATTATTATTATTATTATTATTATTATTATTATTATTATTGATTGTAAAAAGAGTGGACAGTATTTATAAATATCAAGTAAGAATACTCCACTTCTACTACTTTATATTATTAGGGGTTTTCATTTAAACGTTCAAAACCATATAGTAGGGATATAGGCGAAACTGAAGGGGTTGTCAAACAAAATTTTTTATTCTCTTCACACAGACGAGTTCTGAGAGAATAAAACACACTTTAGAGAACTAAACGCACTCACAAAACTTAACATTTTCTTCGCGAAATTGCGAGGATATTAACACTTAATAGTTTTTCTTATCACTTAAACTTAATATTTATTATTTTTTGCCACACTTTTAATGTGTTTAAAACCCTGAAAATAATTTATATTTTAAAACGAAAACAAAAAAAAAATGTTTTTTATTCTTTGACATTTCATTTTAATTAAAACTGAAAACAGAAAAGTTGTAAATTTTCGTATTGAAAATGAAAAAAGTATTTCACATACACATAGTGCGGAAAAAAATAACAAAAAGACGTGTTTATAATACGTTTTAAGATTAAATGTCTTCTGAAAAAAATGAACTAACTAATATTTTCATTCACTAGTATATGAAATCCTAGTAATAACATACAAAAAATAACGTATCATAAATACATCTATTATTTAGTACCTTTTGAACAACTGTGCTTATTTCTGTGGTTCTACAAATACATTCTCACCAGTTAGGTTTTTGACAGGGGACTTAGGTCTTTGACAATCCCTTTCGCCTATATGCTACTATATGTTCAAAACCTTCGTAAACTGTGCAACCTGTGCATGTTTCCATGTTTGAATTGTATGGGAATTGATTTGCACAACCATTATACGTTTGACCGACTATTTAGACTGGAAAACTTCAGCAAACTCATTGTGCATTTAATAAATCCGTTCACTATTGTTCACTTTTAAATTTATGAACTTTAATATTCACCTTTTAAACATATTTTGTAAAATTTTTTTAAATAATTTATTTCCTTTTTTTATTTCGTTTTTATAAATAATGTAATTGAACAGAATTTGAACAGGGGTTTCATGAAACATGCCGAATAAACTTGCACAAATGGGAAACTTAAGCATTTAAATGAAAACCCTTATTTAATATTTTGTAATTTTTTATTGTAACAAATGTTCATAAAATTTCCATTTGATTTTTAAAAGCAATTTCGGTTTTTTTATTGTTAATAAATAATAATTTTTATATTTTATAAAATGTGTCTTCATTTATAATTGGTGAACCCGTAAGAAAAGTTTACATATGTAATTGTAAGAAGATTGTGGCATCGCAAGAGATGAAACAATCGAATCCTACACCACCTCCGCCAGTGTCTCCAGAAATTTCTTCTGCCAAACCCCTTAACTTCCTGTATTTTGGAAGGTTGAACCAGAGGTTTGGTTCCTTTAAGTTGATGCAAGTCTCCGTATGTGTGGAATAACACATAATATTTGCTAATGAATTTGTACAAATATGTTTTATTTTTGATTAAAGACGTAATTATTTCTTCTCCTACATTCTAAAAGAGCGCATAATCATTCGCTGAATCTCCAGAATATCAACTAAAATGTTTACTAAATAGTATGGATGGAAGATCAAAAACCATCCCATTACCTTCAAAGTATTAAATTTCTTTCCATTGCTAAATTAAGTAACGATATTTTAAAACACACTTTATGGAAGTTTTCTGAACAAATAAATTTTATTTTAGCCGTTTGTGAATCAAATGACGTTGATAAATTAGCTTTCCAAGTCGACAAAATTGTTGAAGCTTTTTCAAGTTCAACATCCATGATCTTTTCAGAAGTAGGTTAGGTTAGGCTGATAGGAGGATGTATACTACATTAAATCCGAAGAAATACACCTAGGCCACTATCGGGCCTGCTGTGCGCTCCAATTCAAGAAAAAAAAAATTGTTCACTGAATGTATTATTTTTCCATGTTCAGAAACTGTATACACTGGCGGTATGCATTGACATCGAAGGTGCTTTCAATAACGTGCACGCTGATACCCTTATCCAATCCCTAGACCAGTTTTATGTTGACCGGGTGCTCCGTAACTGGATCAACTACATGCTAAAGACAGATGGATAAGCTGCGAGATGTACGATATAACTATAAGGAAATATGTATTTCGCGGTATACCACAGTGTGGCATTTTGTCACCTTTACTCTGGGTTACCACGATTAATAGCCTCCTAAGGACCCTAACCGAGAAAGGACTTAGACCTGTCTGCTATGCATACGATGTCGTAATACTTTTAAAGGGAAAGGATCCAAATTACTTGTGTAGAAGAGCTGAGGAGGCTCTGAATACGGCCTTGAGCTGGGCTCAATCGAGAGGCCTCAATGTTAACCCGGCAAAGACGGAAATCTGTCTTTTCACAAGAAAGACAAAAATTTTTACATATACTGAACCTTGCTTCCTGGGCAAGAAGATACCGGTGACAGACAAAGTTAAGTACTTAGGTGTAATACTTGACCGAAAATTAAAATGGAGACACCACATAGAGGATAGGATCAACAAGGCACATCGGTGCTGGGCGATATGTAGGAGAACCATAGGCATGAAATGGGGTCTTAGTCCTACTATGACAAATTGGCTTTATAAAAGTGTAATTAGACCAATTATGCTTCAATAATCTGGTGGACTGCTTTGGACAAAAAGTGTAATATCAAACTACTACAGAAACGTTGCTAGATATTCCACCCATTGAAACATATATAAGATATGAGGCGGCGCTTACAGCCGAACGGCTCTTTACTTTAGGCGAACTGGCCAAAAACGGTTATAGGACACGTCATCAATGTATACTGGACACATTGGAAGGTTATACACATTCATTGGACGTGCCTGATCGCATACCAGACACAGAATATGTCGGAAACTTTGAAACGCTAATCCCAGATAGAATGTCTTGGTCAAGCGGAACATTAGAGCAAATTCCAATAGGAATCAGTTGCTACACGGATGGCTCTAAATTAGGGGTTCTATATTGAAGACCCAGAAACAGAAATATACCACCGTTTACCTAATCATAACACAAGCTTCCAGGCAGAAGTACGAGCAATAACGGAATGTGTAAATTGGATTAGAATAAATATGGCGCCCACAGGGCTTAATATATTTACCGACAGCCAGAAGGCAATTAGTGCGATATCAGGTGATAGAATTAAATCTAAGACCGTATTGGATTGTAAGAAAGCTTTAACTGAATACTCTCCCAGAGGTAAGGTTTACATCATATGGATACCAGGCCACTCGGGAGTAGTCGGCAACGAAAGGGCGAGTGTTATAGCTTTAAAGGGAAGGGAGCTCGATGTAGTTAACCTGACAAACGCAAAACCATTCGACGCAACAAAAGCTGAATTAAAAATATGGATGAGAGAATCTCATAAGGCCTCTTGGAATAATGAAACGGTGGGTAGAACCACAAAGATTCTATGGGGTGACCCTGATGAGAGCAAGACGAGAAATCTCCTCAAAATGAGCAAGTCTGAGGTTAGTATGATGGTACGTATTCTGAGTGGACACACATGATTACGTGCACATCTATACAAAATTGGACGTGCGGATTCAGACGAATGTAGAGCATGTGGAGAGGACAGTGAAACTCTGGAGCACTTTCTTTTGCCATTGTCAGGCATTCGTCGAAGTTAGATCCAAGTATCTTGGAAGTGATGTTATTCCGGAAATAAAATTCTTAACCAACACCGATTGGAAGATTCTTAGGAATTACGTCCAGGAAGTTTCTGAACATGGAAAAATAATACATTTTTTTCTTGAATTGGAGCGCACAACAGGCCTGATAGTGGACTAGGTGTATTTCTTCGGATTTGATGTAGTATACATCCTCCTATCAACCTAACCTAACCTCATTTTTCTAAACTTTCCATATTATGAGTAATTCAAAGATCTTTTAGTGTGATGAGTTATTTTAAAACTTTAAAACTAAAATAAAAAATATTCACCTCTTTCGCAAAAAGAATTGAAATTTGTTTCTTCTTAAATTTTCATTCCCTTCGAAGGGAAAATTGATTTCGTGAAATTCTACAACAGTTGATTTTGTTCGTAACAGCTTTTTATTGATCAGAAAATTCTATAAAAAATTCACAACAACGTCAAAAAAGGAAAAAGTTGTAAATTAACTTAATTTTAGTTAAACTTGAACTTGAAATTAAAATTGCATTTCGTGAAAACTATTGATATTTTAATGTGAATAATACAAAAATAATTTTGATCGCACAAAGTTTCATTCACAAAAATTTAGCATTATTTTTTTATAACTTCACTGTGAAGGAAACAATTACTTGATGATTACTTCAGTTTTTTTTCACAAAGTTTTGGCTCTTGGTATTTTTGGAAATGAAGAGTTTAATTAAATTTTATTATGGGGCATTTCAAAAAATCTCTTTGACTAGTTATTGAGTTCTTGATCATTTAATAAGAAAATCGAACATATTTGTATTAACCTTTTAAATTTCGTTCCCTAATCAAAATTCCAATTAAGGGGTAATTTTTTTAAGAAACAAATTTTAGCTAAATACTATATTTTTTAAGACTGTGTAAAAATATAATTTTAGCGCTTTTTAGTGCATTTTGAGTGAATGGACGGCGCGTTTTAGTATAAAATATTTGACAACACTGTTTCCCGGTGTAGACCAGTGCCTGTGTTCTGTAAATTGATCGAAAACAAAAAATTCCATCATTTCTCGATTTGTGAGTAAAAATTGTTTCTGTAACTTAAAGTGAAAAGAATTTCCAATAAAATACCTGTCAAAAACATAAAAATAAAGAGATAAAAAGAAAAATTGCCAAACAAATTTATAAACAAAGATTAAATAAACAAAAATATTGAAATTAAATTTAAAATATTTAAAAAATTATCCTCTAATTTATTGTCCCCTGGTAAATTCTAGGTTTATGTCCACGTACTTTTCCAGCTTTAACTTCTGTATATTAGAAATTATTCCTATTTTCTAAAAATTAGTTAATAATATTAATTTTTTATAAAAACAACATTATCTTTTCTTTATTTCTTACAATACATATCGTCAGTATATTATTGGTTTGACCCACCGACCATTTTTAAAAAAATTGAGTTAGGAGTGGATTGTATATAATTTGGACATCCTCTTTCCGATTCCGAAACCCATTTTTCAATATTTGATACGATTTCCGAGATATCAAGTGTTAACTTTGGTCTTTATCCACAATTTTAAGACTAAATAAATATTGTTTTGCATATGCCACTGTTTGGCGTATACACCACAATTTTCATACAAAAATTGAAAACAAATTAATGTTTTGCTTCACTGCCATAACAAAAACGTAGATCAAAGCACACATAACAAGGTGTTTTTAAAATTCTTGTTTACATTATTTGTATATGGATTTTGACAGATCTATTACACTGATTGTTATTTTTCAGCATACATAATTTGACAGTTTTTGTATACATATAAAATATGTGCTGGTCTGGTAACACCATCTTACAAATTTAGTGAAAAGTTTGCACATAAACAACAACAATTCATAAATAATTTGAGTGCCGAAGTAAAAAATGAAATTTTAATCACCAGGTCCGTTTTTTCCGAAGAAATTAATTATTAAGTGGTATTTAATTGTTTGTCTGACATTTTGTTATAGTTCCATGCCATTGGGATGTTTGATGAAGATTTACTACCTTAAAAATACCATCAGAATGTTCATCCAACTAGCAGATTGAGAATGTATTATGGGATATAGAAATAGGTAACTAATATTTTTAGGTTTTTGGAATACTTATCGAAGGATATTATCCATTTTAGCTTGCAGTGCCATCAAATTCTAAAAAAGAACTTAATTTTCTATGGAAATAACTATTTACTGTAGCTGTGAACTCAAAATTACGTTATGCATCAAGAAAAATTAAAAAAAATCTTGGGACACCGGTGTTCCATATACATACGTGAAAGAGATATAGGCCAATATTCAAACCATTTGGTTGAAACATTTTGAACGTTCTTATTTCGATTTTCATCATTATAATGGCATTTTTAAGCCTATAGTTAAAGTAATTTTTGATGGGGGCTATATATGAGGGGTAGGGTCACTTATGAGCCGATCCTCATAAAATTTGGTAGAGTGTTTGTGCTTCCTATAAAACTAGTTTTTGATGAATTTCATCGCTATACTGGTATTTCTAAGCCAGGTTTGACTGCTTAAACTGTATTCTGGGCGGACACTTATGTATGTATATGGGGCTATGGGTGAAATTGTTGTCCGATACTGTCTATTTTCAATACCAAGCAACCTACATAAATAAAAAATATTTGTGAAAAATTTCAGCCTTCTAGCTGTTTTCATTCGGATCTTTTTCGATGGTGGGCATAAAAAAATACTAAAAAGGGAAAACAAAAATAAAAAATTGATATAGACCATAAAACACAAATTTTTGTTTTCATTAAAATCTTAATAACTTTTTTTTCAATTTTACATAAAGGTGTGTAAATCTATAATTTTGTTCAAAACATATGTCGAAATCAAGTGTGAAAATTAAAAAAAAAAATCTATCACGTAAATTTTGAGAAAAGTTTATCTAAACCTTCTTATTCGTTTTTCTCAATAATATACTGACGATATTTAAATAAAACTTTTTTTCATAAAATTTTACTTTCCGCACCGTTTTAAAATGTGAGTTTTTTGACAGTTCATGTGAGAAACTTCTCACAAAATTTTCTTACAGAAACACACAAATTTCCAATATCCGACGTCAAAAAACTTAAATGATAGATAGTTCACATAAAAATAAATTACAGAAACAATTGTATGTGAAAAATTATATTTTGTTTCAATTCACAGTGTTTTTCTTCAATTTCACTGTTTCATGCGAGAAATTTCTCGATGAGAGAATTACAGAACACAGGCACAGTTTTAATGAATCGGTAATTTTTTCTAAATTAGAACTAATTAAAGCCTATCATCAAATTGCAGTATACCCTGATATTCCGATATAATGCTGCTCTGATATAATGCTGCTCTAACATCGACGATCCTTTTTGAGCGCTTTAAAGAGTATGAAGTTAAAGTGAATCCCGCAAAATGCGTTTTTGGTGCATCAGAGATTGATTTCTTCAAGAAACCGGAAAGAGTCAAGTGCATACACGAATACCCTTTACCCAAACCCATTAAAGAATTGAGAAGATTTCTGGCTATGCTGAATTTTATCGCAAATTCCTTTCTCATGGTGCAACTGCTCAAGCTACGCTCAATAATTTTTTGAAAGGGACAACAAAAAAGAATGACAACCAAGGCTACGAGATGAATTTTCGAAAAAATCGTAAATTTCCCGATAAATTTTAAAATAATTGTAAAAAATCGGAACTTAATAATAATGTTAATAAGTAATTAAAAGCAAATAGCAGTTTTTGACATTTTATGAAGAAAAATATATCAAAACTAATATATGTCATTATATTTACGTAGAATTCAAAAAATACGTAATATTTAAATTGGAGAGATATTTCCGTAAAACAGTTCTTTTACAAAACTTATATAGTTGCGGGTGAATAAAACACGAATATATAACACTTAACAACTATTTATTATTTATTTAATTAATAAAAAGGAATTCACATTTACTTTAACAAAAGACTAGAAAGCTACATGTGTAGTAGCAAAGACGCATTTGGAATTAATTTCTGTTTACGTCTGTCAACTCGTTTGCTTCTATCTGATGCGTTGCCAGACTGTTGGTTTTGTAAAACAGGCAGGCTCGGTGCTGCCACATCCACTCCCTCTCCAGTGACAAAGTCAGGATCTGATTGGAACGATATTTCCGTAGGCGTTGGACTACGTTGCGCAACATTCGTGGCGGCAGTAAGTTGATTAGCAGATGTGGTATTTTGAGATGTAGAATTTGTACTTTGTTGATCAGGTGGTGTGTTGGGAATTTCCGAAGTGATGTTCTGCTGAGTATCATTTATGATGAAAGCTGGTTTTAATCTGTCTGCGGATACGTTTACATAATTTTCTTTGATTCGTATTGTGTATAACCGGTCTGAAAGTCGTTTTATAACCTTGTACGGACCCGTGTAGGGTGTCTGTAAAGGTCCTCGAACAGCATCAGTACGTAGAAAGACATGAGTGCAATCATGGAGATTTTTCAATATAAACATCTTGCCTTTATTGTGATGAGCTGTTGGTGTAGGGCGCAGAAGATTAAAATATTCCCGAAGTTTTCGTAAAAATTCAGGAGAATCAACAGGATTATCGGCTTCATCAAAGAAATCGTTTGGAAGACGCAATGAACCAGCATAAAGTAAATCGGAAGGTGATGCTTGAAGATCTTCCTTAAATGCGGTTCTAAGTCCAAGTGGGACTGTCGGTAGTATATCAACCCATGATACGTCAGGATGACACATTAGAGCAGCTTTAAAAGATCTGTGCCACCTTTCAACCATACCGTTTGATTGAGGATGATAGGCAGTTGTTCGTGAACGCTTTGAACCAGTAAATTCAACAAGTGATTTGAACAAACTGGACTCAAATTGAGTACCCTGATCAGTAGTGATAGTTTTAGGGCAACTGAAGCGTGATATCCAATTTGACCAAAATGCTGTTGCGACAGTCTGGGCAGACTTGTCCTTCAACGGTACAGCTTCAGGCCATCGAGAGAATCGGTCGATCATTGTAAGGCAATATCACTACGATATCCAAATGGACATGGTCAAAACGATTGTCTGGAACATCGATTTTATTTGGCAGTAATCGGTTGTGCCTTGTAATCTTTGCCCTTTGACAGGACAAACAATTTCGGGACCAACTAATGATTTGCTTTTTCATTGCTGGCCAAACGTACTTTTTACGAATTTGTTGAAGAGTGGCTTTGCCACTTGGGTGAGACAGATTGTGTACTATACCAAAAATTTGTTGACGAAGTTGTTCAGGAACATACGGACGTACATATCCAGTTGATACGTCGCAGTATACTGATGTAGATTCAAAATGAACGATTTGAAGTTTCAAAGAATTATTACCTTCCAGTAAGGTTTTTAACTCTTCGTCCAATTCTTGAGCTGATTGAAGTACTTCCATTGAAATTGTTGATGGCATAGAAATTGCATTAAGACGCGATAGTGCATCTGCTACAGTATTCTCAGGACCAGACAAATAAATCACTTCAGTTGTAAACTGTGAAATGAAATCAAGATGTCTCAATTGTCGAGGCAAAGCTTTCTCCGGTTTTTGAGAAAATGCATAAACTAGTGGTTTATGATCAGTCTTAATCACGAAATGTCGTGCTTCAAGCATGTGTCGGAAATATTTCACGGCTTCATAAATCGCAAGCAATTCCCTATCATATGTGCTGTAATTTTTTTCGGCTGATGATAATTTTCGAGAAAAGAAACCGAGTGGTCTCCAGGTATCCTCAAACCTTTGTTCAAGGACAGCTCCAATAGCTGTGTCAGAAGCATCCGTACTAAGAGCTAGGTCTGAATTAGGTGCTGGGTGTGCTAGCATTGTGGCTTCACTAAGACTACGTTTACAAGAAGAAAATTTTTCTCTTGTCGTTCTTCCTTGAATTTGTTAGAAAACCATTGAGTGGTGCTTGTAATTGTGCTGCATGAGGAATACATCGCCTATAGTAGTTAATAACACCGAAGAATCTACGAAGTTCGCAAATGGTTTCGGGTTTGGTGTAATTCACGATGGCAGTGACACGATCGGTTGGAGGTCGGCAACCACTACCATTAATCATGTAGCCAAGGAACTGTACCTCTGACTGACCAAAATTACACTTGTTAACGTTGATGGTTAAACCATGATGGCGAAGGCGCTCAAATACTTGTCGTAAATGACATTGATGTTCATCGGCAGATTCCGACATAATAATAATATCGTCAATGTAGCAATATACAAAATCCAGGCCCCTTAACACAGAATCCATAAACCTCTGGAACGTCTGCGTGGCATTTCGTAGCCCAAAGGGCATAAATAAAAACTCTACCAAACCAAATGGAGTACAAACGGCTGTCTTTTGAATGTTCTCCGGAGCCATTTGTATCTGGTAGTAAGCTCTAACAAGGTCAATAGTTGTAAAAATTGACTTACCATGTAATTTTTCAGAAAAGTCGTTAATGTTGGCTATAGGGTACCGATCCGGAACTGTTTGTGAGTTAAGTTTCCGGTAATCACCACACGCTCGCCATCCACCAGTTTTCTTAGCGACCATGTGTATCGGACTGGCCCATGGACTCTTGGAGGGTCGACATATGCCATGATCCAATAAAAAATCAATTTCGGCTTTTGCTGCAGCTAGTTTATCACCAGACAATCTTCGTGGACGATCAGCAACTGGTTTGCCTGTAGTTTCAATATGGTGAATAACTGTTGCATCAGCATTAGGTTTACGAATTAAAGTTGTTGTTGTAATATCAATAAATTGTGCAAGTAATTTTGAAAAATTATTATTTGTCGTAGTAGACAATGTTGAAATGCTAAAATCCTTAGTTTCACGAATTTCGCCATTGCTTATCAAATTTGTAGTATTATCAATAAGACATTTTCGTCCGAGATCAATAAGTAAATTGTAATGACTCAAAAAGTCGGCGCCAAGTATGGGCGATTGAACATCAGCAATAATAAATAACCATTTGAGTTCACGGCGGAGACCTAAGTCCAATTTAAAAACACAGTGACCATAAGTCTTAATTTCACTGCTGTTTGCAGCGAGAAGCTTAACAGTGGTTGGCGTTAATGTTGCTTTGATTAAAGATGGGGGTACTACTGATACCACTGACCCTGAATCAATTAAAAAACGAGTGTTAGTCGACCTGTCGAAAATATGTTGACGATTCTCCTCTGTTATGTTATTATTGCCGCTGTCGCCAACCGTGTTGACTGACGACAGCCCCACTAGTTTTCCGAATTAGGTTTCCAGCGGGGGCAGGTTGGTTTACAATGCTGGGCTGCATCACCAAATTTCGTATGATACCAGCATAATTGTGCCTCAGTTGAATTCTGGTGAGAATTTCGTGAACGGCTACGAGATCTGGACTGTTGTCGATTAGATTTAACTCTGTTGTCGTTTTGTTGTAAATGAATTTTCCTAACTTCATCTGTTAAATTCTTAATCGCTTGGCAAACGTCAGAAAAAGTCATATGGGGAGCAACTGCATCCACTGGAACACTTGCGTCGAAACGTAAAGGTGCTACTAATACGGAACTTGTCACGTTGTAATTAGCATCTAGCATTTTGTCGGCCGTTTCGGAAAGCTTTTCCAAATCATCGTCCTTCCAAAC